GAGTAGTAGTAGTAGTAGTAGTAGGGAGTAGTAGGGAGTAGTAGGGAGTAGTAGGGAGTAGTAGGGAGTAGTAGGGAGTAGTAGGGAGTAGTAGGGAGTAGTAGGGAGTAGTAGGGAGTAGTAGGGAGTAGTAGTAGTAGTAGTAGTAGTAGTAGTCGTAGTCGTAGTCGTAGTCGTAATCGTAGTCGTAGTCGTAGTCGTAGTCGTAGTCGTAGTCGTAGTCGTAGTCGTAGTCGTAGTCGTAGTCGTAGTCGTAGTAGTAGTAGTAGTAGTAGTAGTAGTAGTAGTAGTAGTGGTAGTAGTAGTCGTAGTCGTAGTAGTAGTAGTAGTAGTAGTAGAAGTAGAAGTAGTAGCAGTGCAATACATCTTTTTCCCTTACGCGCTCCCCCTTGCGTCGGCCGGGGTCGGCGGATATATATTATAAGCTTTCAGAGCCTCGATCCTCCTGCTACTGCTGGCTACTGGCTATATGCATTTCTACCCTAAAGGGTCGAATGTCTTATTCCCTGGCGCGCTCCCCCTTGCGTCTGCCGGGGTCGGCGGATTTCAGATTTTAAAGACTCATTTGGGGTTCAGAAGGCTTCACTTAGTCACTTCTATGAGAGAATTATGGGAGAGACACACACACACACAAAACGGTTGTGCCAGTGATGTTAGCGCTTGAGGCGCGATGCTTGCGTTTCCGCAACGTGCCAGAGGGCTATACCAGTAGCTTGATGAGAGAAGAGTTAGAGGCAGGGCCGGCGAAAAGAAACTGACTGAAACGACTACTGGCCACCACCTGAGTACAAATATTTTTTGGTCCAAAGAAGAATGCTTGTGATGGGTGATATATTGTGATATGACATATTATATATATATATATATATCATATATGTGTATATTGTATAATATATATATATGGTAATGATATATATCATATATATATATACATGTCATATATATCATATATATCTTAATTATATATCACCTATATATATATACATCTATACACATATCACATATATATATATATGTGATATGTGTGTATACATATATATCTATAAGTATATCATATATATATATATGTATATATATACATCATATATATATATATCATAGATATATATGTCATATATGTCATATATATCATATATATCATATATATATATATATATCATATATATATCATATATATATATATATATCATATATCACATATATATATATCATATATATATATATCATATATATATAATCATATATATATATCATATGTATCATATATATCATATATATATATCATATATATATATATATCATATATATATATATATCATATATATATATATCATATATATCATATATATCATATATATCCTATATATATATCATATATATATCATATATATATATATATAAATATTATATAGATATATCATATATATATATAAAATATCATATACATATATATAAATATCATATATATAAATATCATGTATATTATCATATATATATGATATATACATATGTATCATGTATATATAATATCATACATATATAATATCATACGTATATAATATCACATATATGTATATATTTATATCATATGTATATATATATATATCACATACACATGTATCCCTTCCTGGTTTGATTTTCTAAACTCCCCTATGAAAACCACGATTATACCCATTACAAAATTCCGCATATATATATATTAGATACATATCCCCATTCTTTGTCATTCTACAGATTTTTTGTGGCTTAACCAAAGTAAATTTCTTGATGATCTCCCCACGATCCAGATCCCCAGCTGAGAAAATCACCAGGACGAAGGCTTCGGTCCTGATGAGGCGCTGGGTGCGCTGGGTGCATTCGCTATTGGTATAACAACCCCCACTATTGGATATTTAAGAAATAGCACCATATTGTGGGGGTTAGGACATTCATCTAAAATATGGGGGGCCTCATTAGCACTATTGGATGAATTCATCTAAAATATGTAGATAGAAGAGTTGGACATCTGGAAATGCTATGAAATGCTGAAATGATGCTCAAAGTAAGCCAAATTTAGGGACCAGCAAGCCCCCCGAACATTTTCCATGATTTTCCAGACTGTTTGATTTCAAAGGACACTGAAGACTCTGACAACTTTCGGAGGATTTCCTATTTTTCCTCGTTGAAGCTGTTGGCTTCATGAGGGGTGCTGACTTTTTAATCACCTACTATATAGTATTAAAGTAGATATTATTGTATTTCTATTTGGTGTTGTTATTGTTATGATTTTAAACATCTATAGACATGTATACATATATACGTATGTATACACCTTTGCACCCACTTGCAACGTATACCGTTCAGCCTGACAGTTGCAACCTGGATGGGGATGAGTTAAAACCTCTATGGTATCATATTTTTTGGTGAACCCTACATTTTTGTGGGTGAACATCCCAGAGATATTTCGAGGATAGCACGTTTTTTTTTGGGGATGATGATACATTTGCAAGCTCTTTCGGTGTTCACCAAGATACTGATCGGGTTTTGACTCACCGGATGACCATTGGGGCACCGGAAAATTTGCCCTAGCATCACATGGCCAGTACCCTCCGGGAATCAAACATCGCAATGGACGAACCCATTTATGGATCATTGTCCAACTTAAACCTCCATAGGGGTTTTCCATATTCCATCAATTTCCCATTGCCATAGTTGAAAGACTTCAAATTCACATCTTCATGCTTTGGATGGTGACATTCTGGAACATATTAGTTTCAACCCCATATATTCGAATGATGTTTTTTTTCTCCCACCTCATCCACAAGGGGTGCCCCCAGTTATAAGTTGGTTTATAACTCCAACTATGGATACCACCAGCTTAGCTATCGCTTGTGGGGGGCACCACCTTGCAGGTCTTGTACCTCTTACACGACATGCAGCAGCACCAGACCTACGTTTTCGCCGCCAGCGCTCGCGTGGCGCAGCAGATCGTGACCAACTTCGATGGTCGGCGCCTGGAACGACTGGGGCCTGGCGAGTTGCCAGACAGCTGCTTGAGACAAAACGTCAAGCTGGAATGGCTCTAGGAAAAAAAGGGGCTACTGCTGGTGGTGGCTTTTTCTTGTTGTTGTTGTTGTTGTTTTCAAAACACCGTTGTTCCAGGTGTCGTGGTTGATTTTTTTCGTGGAAATTGGCCAATCGATTGGGGGATAGATTCAGATTTGGGATGGCGTTTAATTACTGTAACATGGTTTAAGCATCAATAGGGATTTAGCAGTGACGAGCGGCGTCTGCGGCAGTTTTTTTTTTGCACCATCAATGGGGATTTGCCAACCCTTGGCTGCTTAGTTGCCGGGTTGGGAAATTGACAACTTGACAAACCATTGAGAAATTGACAAACTGACAAAATCCAACCCATCATTGGGAAATTGCTAAGAATGGAAGTTCAACCATTGATCACTGAGTTCTTAGACAGTTCTGATCCAAGTATTCTCACCTTAACAGGACGGTTGACGATTCACGGCTTAGATCAAGGCCTTCAATAACTTGGATGCGACAGATATTCCCAAGGCGGTCGGAGCACTCAGATGGGGAAATCGGGCTTGGGTGGACCCGATGGACCATGGTGGAATGAGGCACCCAGACCAGAAGCTATGGATATCATCATTTTCCATGACCATAAGACATGGGATATCATGGGATAATAGTATCATTTCATAATCATGGGATATCGTGGGATCGATTTTCTGGTTATCCCCCCCAAAAAATATCTATGACCATGATGATATATCATGATCTCATGACCATACTCTACCCTCTGGTAAACTTTCACATAACTATGGAAGATCACCATGTTTAATGGGTAAATCCACTATAAATGGCCATTTTCAATAGTTATTTTGACATAACCAGGGAGTATCTATCACCATGGACAGCCAGAGCTATTCATCCCGTGGACCCAGGTCTCGCCCCTTCAACGCTTGACGCGGCTGCAGTTGAACGACAACCCACTGGTGCCCAGATACGATGGGATGGGGAGCCGAGGAACAAAAAAACAGTTCCCCAACAAAGCATCAACGGTTAGGGACATCACGTGACATATTCACGGATATGTATATAATGTATATATATATACAATTATATACATGTATATGTATATATATATATATATCTACTTATGTGTGTATTGTGTATATCAGCTTTTCGAATATTGGCAGTCAGTTTCATGGCAGGGCTTCCGGACGGACATTTTTCTTCAACCTCTGAGGTGAATGAGCTGATGGAACAGTACAGGCCGGCAGTTTCTACTACAAAAGCTCCGTTCTGAGCCGTAACGACTGAACGGCTGAGCGATATTGGCTTTTCTGGGTTAATCCCATATCTGTAAGAAGTACCAAACATATTCAAAAATAGAAGGGTGTATATATATATATATACACATACTCTTTGTATATCAACATATACACATATATGTACATCAATATGTTTGTATGTACATATATACTCATATATATATATATACAAATATCTATACACTTTAGACGTACATGTAACCGTCAAAAGATATGGGACCCCAAAAAAATCCAACGGATTTTGACTCCGTGCAGGCCCTGGATCTTGCGGCTGTCTCCCCAAGTGGAGGAGCCGGCCGTTTCGGATGGGGATGGGGATATCAAAAAAAAAGTTTAGGCGATATGAATGGAGCATCAATGGGATTGATTTTTAAACTTTTTTCCTTGTAAAGATACCCTCTGGTAAATAAACATAGACCCTGAAAATAGCCAATTTTTAATGGAAACTAGTCTTCCAACCCCAACAACTACCAGGGTCTATGTTAATTTACCAGAGGGTATCACCCAATGGGGGTTACACCCAATGGTCTCCAATTCGGACTCCAAAGATTTGATAATTCGGGAGATATAACTGGGTGACAGGTGGTGACAGATGGTCTATTTTGTTGGTTGAGTTCTTGCTCAGTTACCCTCTGGTAAACTAACGTGGCTATTGAAAGGCCATTTATAGCGGATTTACCCATTAAACATGGTGATTTTCCATAGTTATGTTAGTTTACCAGAGGGTATCTTATTTGCACATGGGTAAATCCACTCATTTCTTTAGCATGTGGAGGGCAGTGACCGTCAGAGGGATCCCATCTATGTAGGTCCCTGAAAATGCCGCAGGATGCCATACGATGCCACAGGATGCCACAGATGTTTGGTTACATACCCAATGTCCTAGTTGCAACCTGGTAGCTACTATTACAAGGTGGTGCCCCTCCCCCTACGAGGGAATCGTTGGGTCTATGTGATTTGACGAGGATCCGATAGATAAAAAACGCCATATTGTTTTACCTGCATACATATTTTATATAACATATGCATACACATTTTAATTGTATCATCATTATCATCATCATCATCATCATCGTCATCGTCATGGTCATGGTCATCGTCATCGTCATGGTCATGGTCATGGTCATCGTCATCATCATCATCATCATCACCATCACCATCACCATCACTATCAGCATCATCATCATCATCATCATCATCATCGTCATCGTCATCGTCATCGTCATCGTCATCGTCATCGTCATCATCATCATCATCGTCATCGTCATCGTCATCGTCATCGTCATCGTCATCATCATCATCATAATCATCATCATCACCATCATCATCATCATCATCATCATCTTCTCTCCATGGTTGGTGTTCGAATAGTGTGGTAACCCAATCATACTATGTATTGTATCTAATATTTTTTCTCGTATCTGAAAACATCTGCAACAAAAATATACGACTAGTGAATTCTGGATTCATTCTGGTACCCTCCCCCACGTGAAATTCTGCATATGTCCCTCCAATATTTGGCTGTGGGTCAAAACCCTGGTACCAATCGTTCACATCAAAATAGCTGGTAGTTAGTTCTGGATGTTCATCCCATTTCATTTCCCACAAATTCATGGACAATCACAGGTTTTGACTCATCCCCATATCAAATATATAGTTGGCTGTATATCATGTTTTTATCAAGTATCTATATACACATAGTCATCATATCATATAGTAGATTGTAGTTAATTGTATATCAAACAATAACAATAAAATTAAAATTATCTTTGGTATCCACATCAAATCCACATCTCTTGATGGTTTCCCTTGGGCTTCCCATGGTGCCCTGACACCTCTGTTTCAGGAGCTGGACAACGAGACCGTCAGCGAGGTGGACCGCCGCGCCGCGTTGCCGCCGGCGATGTCCATGGTCGGCATGGTGGGCATGGGCCGAGCGGTGGCGAGGCGAGATGCCGGGAGCGATGCCGGGAGCGTCCCAGCAGAGGATCAAAAGGTATGAAGATGAACACATTTGGAGGTTTCCTAAAATAGGGATACCCCCAGTCATCATCCATTTATAGATGGGATTTTCATGGATTTTCCACTATTAACCACTATTACCCTCTGGTAAACTAACATAGCTATTGATAATGGTCATAGAAATAGTGAGTTTTCCCATTAAAAATGGTGGATCTTTCCATAGCTATGTTAGTTTACCAGAGGGTACCCCCAAATCATCCATTTATAGATGGGATTTTCCATGAACTAAACCAACCAGCTATTGGTGTACCCCCATTTAGTTGGAGAGCATGAAAACCCAAGGTGGCGCCTGTGAAACTGCATGTTTTTGTTGTTTTCACTGTACCTGTGGGGGTTGTTGGAATCAGATGAGGTTCTGCAAGCCTGGGATCTGTGTATGATTGATCAGCCTCTTTGGTTCAAGGGAACTCCAAGATTTGTGAAAGCTCTCCACTAGATGTGTGTACGCGCACGAAGACAGACACACAAAAAAACACGGACACCAACTATGTATAGATAGATTAGATAGGCCTTGCAACTTTGCAGATTCCTCAAGTCCAGAAGCACCACCTTTTTGATTCGTTTTCATCAACACCAGGGTAACAGCCAGCCTCAGCAGAACTCTTACCAGCTCAGGAATGATTGGGAATTGTGGATTCCATTCCCATTTATGGCAGCTTCATCAAGTATCATTGGATATTTAATGATATTTATGCATATTTATGGTAGCTTCATCACTGTAGTGACCAAGATCCCTTCTCGGGCCGCACGCCTACGCCGTTGGGCGTGGCTTTGTGGCGCTATGAAGCATCGCTTTGACCTTTATGTGAGATACACTATTGAGATTGATCTGCCAAATCCGATCACTACTTTGGAGGGTCTGAATGGCCACTTGATCTGCACACATTCATCACTATTGCCCAGCTGAATGTCATGTCACATGCCACTTCATGGCATTGGACCCTATAGGTTGGTCCCTGTGGGTCACACCGGTTGTCTAGAGCAATTTACATCAACGAAACCCGCGTGTCACCCAATTTCCTGAAGTTTGTCTATACATTTCCTGGCCTTTTACCCATTTTTTTCAGAAAGGGACGCTCTCAGTCCCCACGATTCTCAGTTCCCACGTTTCCACATGTCTGGACAGACGACGTGACAGATTACATATGAATCTTTGTTAGGAAAAATGTTACGTCTACGGAATTCATGCTTATGAATCTGTAGTGTCACTAACAAGCAGACTTGAGGAACACCTGACTCTGATTATATTTCTAATTCACAGGAAAGAAAGAGCCACACAGAAAACAAACGAAAAACAAAAAAAAAAAAATTGGGCTGACCCCCCCCTTTACCTCTCCCAAGACGGCCTATAGAGCAAACCCAGATATATTTTTTCTTCTCGTGGAGCTTCTTACATTTGTGTTCTGTTCTTGTTCTTGTTTCTTGCTATTTTTCTTGTTTCTGTGGATATCTCATATGCTTACCTGATGCGTCCTGATAATTTGCTTTGAAGAGTGTTTGCAAACGCAACGGACAGGCGTATAAACTAACAAGGTAGACATACCATAGAAATCCCATAAGAACCCAGTGGAAATCATATAAGAATAACATATGAGACTGTAGCAGATAACATGGCCAAGAGAGCCACCTAGAGCCACCAAGATAGCCCAGCTAGGGGAGGGGAGGAATCATCTGAAAATATCATAGATATAACATAGAATTAGTATAGGTACCACAAAGAAATCCCATAAGAATATCATAGATTTCCCTCAGACATCTCATAGGAATTCCATAGAAATATCATAGACATACCATAGAAATCCCATAAGAACCCACTGGAAATCCCATAAGAATACCATACGAGGCTGTAGCAGGCAAGATGGCCCAGAGAGCCACCTAGAGCCACCAAGATAGCCCATCTAGGGAGACACTGTCCTGTCTCCTATTCTGTTTGATTGGTCTCTGCCCCATAGTAAGCAGACTGGGATCCCCTCCATTGCTTCGATATCCCATGGCCTTGACAAGAAAACAAAAGGAGAACAGGTATAAAGGGAACACGAAGAATAAGATGATAAAAAATCTGGATGGCTCTCTGGGCTATCTTGCCTCAAGCAATGTCATCTGTCTCTAGGTGCCTCTCTGGGCTATTTTGTCTATTACAATGTTGTCTGTCTCCAATTAACGTTAGAGTAAAAAACATAGATTGACATTAACGTTTCGGAGTCTGGGTACGAAATTTCTTCTTTCCATTTGGTACTTTCTGAACCTTCATGCCTTGGTCCTCTTTTTCTTGGCCTTTGTTTCATCAGGTGGCTTGCAGCTGGTGTTCAGCTCATCTTTCTTTTCGTGATCTTCCTTTCAAGACTCCTGCAACCATATCATATTTGATTCTCTAAGGCACTGTCATATCTCCACTTCTATCGCACTGGCCTCCACTCTATCGACTAGCATTCTCTATATTGCTCTGCCATCCCATTGCAGTGACATACCATTGGCTTTGAGATCCCTTTCCTTTGACACTCCTTTGCTTTGGCATCCCCAAGATGTAGCATAGATTTTGTTTCGTCATTATTTGAATTCAAATGCGATTTAGGGTATGTGCCGCAGTATATAATTTTAATAAAAATGTTCATATTATGTCTTAACTTGATGAACTTAGAATAAACTTTGTCATATCTAGAACCATACTTAATCAGTAAGAATTTATTTGAAGAAATAAAATAAATGCATTAAACATAACAAAAAACAGCTAAAAATGACGTAAAAACTGGGGACCCACAACGTCCCGCACTCTTTTTTCAGCTGTTGCCTCATTCATCCTCATTCAATCTAATTCACCTATTTGACCTACATCCCCATGTTGGTGACATCCCCATGTTGGTGACATCCCCCTAAGGTTTCATCGTTGATGGGTTTTCCATATCAACTGGTGCTTCCCCTTGGTGGTCCACGACTGAGGCGTGGCCAATCGGGAGTTCTTCTACATCCTGCGAGAGATGACCAAGCTGCAAATCTATGGCTGTGGTGGAGCGCCCTCGGGCGGCTGGAGTGGACCCTGGGACATGGATCTTCACAGTCCAGTTTTTTTTGAAGGATTGATAGCGGTCATGATGAAGTATCATAATCATAGCCATAATCATAATCCTGGCATCATCATCATCATCACCATCATCATCATCATCAGTAAATGGGCAAGATATGTGGGAAAGTAACTTATGAATGGAGATTTACTGGAACATCATGGAACAAAATGCTGTAAATGGAAGCGACGCCAACAAATTCAACAAATCATCGACCCAGTGCAGTCTGGACGCCAATCGCAGTGTCCTGACGTTGTTTCGTCGGCCAAGCGACCAAGGACATGTCGTGGCACAACTTCGCACAGACCAAGACCTTCAGCAATATTTGTCCAAGGACACGGACGGCGGCTGAAAAAGGGGATTCCAAAGTTTGCGAAAAACCAAGGTCTTTCCCTGAAAACAGCATGACACATGACACGTACAAGATATGACAAGATATGAATATTAATATATATATATATATATTTTTTAAACTACTAAACATAATAGTGTGATATACATACATACATACATACATATATATATATACATACATACATACATACACATACATACACATACATACACATACATACACATACATACACATACACATACACATACACATACACACACATACATACACATACATACACATACATACACATACATACACATACACATACACATACATACACATACACATACATACACATACATACACATACATACACATACACATACACATACACATACACATACAGACAAATACATACACATACACATACATACACATACATACACATACATACACATACATACACATACATACACATACATACACATACATACACATACATACACATACATACACATACATACACATACATATACAATCATATACACATACATATACATACACATACATACACGCATACATATACACATACATATACACATACATACACACATACATATACACATACATATACACATACATATACACATACATATACACATACACATACACATACACACACATACATACCATACCATACCATACAGCTTCCGGCAGAATTATGGAAAAACATAGGTTACACCTGTCTAAGTTAGTTTTTTTTACTCATAATTCTGTTGAATGCCATACATCGAATGTGTATTTTATTGTATATAATATTGTATATTATATACTATATTAAATATATATATATATATATAATACATAATATATAATATGTAATAATGTAATATATTATATATGATGTATTATGTATTATGTATATTATATTGTATATAATATAAATATATATATATATATCCAATATATATAATGCATAATGTATAATGTAAAATGTATAAAATATAAGATATATGATATATAACATATAACATATAACATATAATATATCATATATCATATAAATTTACATAACATCTAATACAAAATACACAATACATAATACATAATATATAATATATTATATATTATAATATATAATATATTATATATTATGTATGAATATGTATGATGTATTGCGTATTATATATTATATATTTGATATGATATGATATATTATATGTTATATGTTATATGTTATATATTATATGTTATACATCCCGGCGGGTTGTTTATCGAACCCGCGTTTTCAACGTTTGCAGTGTTCGTCATTGATTTCATACCACAAATCACAGTGGTTTTGCATCTCTCTCAAAGTTCAATTTCCTTAAAAAGTACGCGCGTACTTTTCACTGGATATGTAAAAAACCTCAGCGGCACTCTCTTTTTTTCTGCGCTAAGTGTTCTTCACAATTTCTGCAGTGAGCTTGGAGAGGTTTTTGTGGGAACTGTTTTCCCATCTCCACTGCCAAGCGCGAATCTTGCCATTGAGCAAGACTAACGTAGACTAACGTACCATCATATATGTGAGGAAGTGCAAGACGACATACAGTAGCGTTGCATCATGTATGTGAGGAAGTGCAAGACGACATACAGTAGCGTTGCATCATGTATGTGAGGAAGTGCAAGACGACGTACACTAGCGTAGCATCATATATGTGAGGAAGTGCAAGACGACGTACAGCAGCGTAGCATCATGTATGTGAGGACGTGCAAGAAGACGTACAGCAGCGTAGCATCATGCATGTGAGGAAGTGCAAAAAGACGTACAGCAGCGTAGCATCATGTCATGTATGTCAGGCAGTGCAAATGAACGTTATTACCCCACCCCACCCCACCCCACACCCCGTTAACCCCATGAAAGACATAGAACATGCAAAACGCTGGTTCGGTTTTCAACCCGTAGGCTTATACATCATATATCATATATTTAATATATTTCATACATTTTACACTATACATTATATATATTGGATATAATACATATATATATATATACATACATACACACATATATATATATATATATACATTTATACTATATACATGCACGCAAACACGTAATAACATCCAAAATACATCACGTTTTGGTAATTTTTGAAGCAGGACGTCCCTCCTGAGGGACCGGTGTATGAACTGCACCTCCCCGATGGAACCGACGCAGGCGGCGTTAAGGGTGGGAGTTGCGTTAAGGGCTGAGGAATAGTTATAATGTGGATAAAACAATGCCATATCCATTTTGGGATGGTTTATACCAACTATTTATGGTGATTTGCGTGATGGTTTATTATTGTTTTACCCACATGATCCGTAATATAGCACCATAATTATTCCTATATTCTCCATAGTAGTATCCAGTAATTATATATGTTACACCATTATTGATAGCATCATAGTTATCACATAGTTATAATCTGTAGTTATTATCTGTGTAATCATTATTACTATTATATATCTACCCTGTATAATCTATAATACTTATATTTATATGTATCTATATATCAACTATGGTTGGACAGGATTGAGATATCACAAAACAACCTAGTGGAGAGTTGTTATGTCTTACACATCAATGTTGTATCTATCACCAGAACTTTGGGTGATTGGGAACTGGGGTTGATGGTGTTATTCCATCCAGGTGCTTGGTATCAGAACAACATCCAGAGCTACCAGTCGCACATCCAGAACTTGCAGGATAGAGTGGGTGACCAGGTTTTTGAGGATGGAAGTCGGGGAAATCTCTTGGTGACTTCCGACTTCATCCCTTGGTGATGCAGGATTTTGGGATTTCATTAGGATTTCATGTTGAATGTAAACGAATTTGGATCCCTTAGACTTTCGTTGCTTTATCCCAAATCCTGAAGTGCAACTTGTTTCAACCGGAGGAGGGCACATTTAAAATTGAAAGAACATGATATCGGAGAAAGATATGGAAGGAGACATCATTGGCATCAATGTGTTTCCAAATTCAGCACCCTGTGATTTTCTTTTAAATGTGGATCTGTGATGCCGACTAACTGTGACTAAGCTGGGTGGCTGCCATCGATCATCCCCCTTAAGGGAACAAAACACCATTGCACATCATGGTACACATCACTTCTCCACACCGTAAAGTCAACCTTTTTTGGAACTTGTGTTTCCAATGGCAGGGTTGGTAGCATGCCGGATGAACCCTGGAGTTTTCATGGCTCGTCACTGGGTGGTAAATGGGTGGTATACGGATAGTTACCCTATGGTAAATAAACATAGACCCTGAAAATCACCAATTTTTAGTGGAAACTAGTCTTCCAACCCCTACAACTACCAGGGTCTATGTTAATTTACTGGAGGGTAGTAGCTACTCAGAATGACGGGCTTGATTAATGAGACCATCTTGAAAACAGGCTCCAGCCCGCCACGTGTCAATGATAGCCACCTCATGGCGGGAATTTGGGGCAGCTGACCTTTTCATCTAACCATATTTTCCTTCCAGGTTCCAAAACCAAAAGATATTTTCACTAAATGAACTTGGTGTTTTTTGAGCAATCCTACATTTTTCACCATTTTAGTTGATAAAATCCTATTGAACCTATCTTTTTGGTGATATTAATCCTATTGTAACATCACCATTTCAGGTTGATTCAAAACTCCTCATTTTTTCCCATCCAGGACCAGGTGAACAACCTGCGACAACAAGGGCAGGGACTCCAACAAGGCGGCTTGGTGTGGTCTGGGTTTTCCAGGATGTTAAGGGGTTGATTTCTGGAACCTCAACTATAGTTTAATGCATACCATTTGAAAATTGGATAGCTAACATAAAATAAGTATTGGATAATCCAGTTGAAAGATTATGGAATACACAAAAAATCTTTTTGGCGTCCAACAGAAACCAACCAGTTGCACGGGGTCAAACTGACCATGAACCCAATGACCATCCAATGGGCTGTTCGCCGTGCAAATTCTCGGTGGCAAGGCGCCTCGCGGATTCTGGGATGATGCAACTGAAGTTGGGGTCTCCATGGGTGTTAGCTAATTATATATATATATACATACACATTATATATATATACATTATATATATAATATTATATATATAGTATATATATATATTACGGTGAGTACTATATCCCAAGACAAGCCGTTTCCATTTGTTAGGTTTACACACTTCCTAGACAGGTCCAACTTCCGTTGGCCAGGATGTTCTGAGGGTTAGGTCACCTTGTTTGGTCGGGGAAAAAAGGGCTGAGCGGCTGACGTTTCAGCCCCAAAGTCATGGAAGGTTGGATCAAGTTGGGCGTGAATTGCCTGAGCCATGCAAAGTTGGACAAAAAGCATCATGAGAATTTTGATGAATTTGGAACCTGAACTTTCTAATTAATTCAACATTTAACTAATTCATCTGGGAATGTTTGCAGGAAACCTTGATGAGAGGAAAACATGCTTTCCTGTGGTTTCCTGTGTAGATTTTCCCTCGAAACCAACCCGAAGTGAATTCACAAGGTGAGGCGAATACATGTTAAATGACTATGGACGGGATGCACATCTACGTACTGCCAGCTATTTTGGTGTGATATTTGCGAGACATTTGCCAGGCTTCATGCTGTTGCAGCAGGTGGCACCAGTGCAAGATGAACAGGCCAGTGTTTTTGCTGGCATCGGGGGCATGGTGCCAGCCAGGGTATCTTGTGAATTCTGACAGTTTTGGAATCAAATCTCTGGAACACAGGGCCTAGGGTGTGGTATGATCACTATCTATTAATAATATCATTAGTTGAATCATTTGATCAACATTGTTAATATTATTTCTTGACATCGTTGACATGATATGATTAGTTGAATCATCTTATCAACATCATCATTTTATTGTTTCTTGACATCATGAACATTATATCATTAGTTAAATCAGTGTATGATAATGATCACCAGTCATAATATATGTATCATCGGAAAAAAAACTGTAACTATTATAGATCGAATATTATGTAATGATGTTTACGATTATGACGATCATTATGGACCATTTTTTCATGACTATCCAATCAACATGATTGACATCATCTCTTATGATCATTATTGGACCCTAACATTTATGAACATCATTTATTTACATCATTACCCTCTGGTAATTTAACGTAGCTATTGAAAATCACCATTTTCAATGGGAAAATCCACTATAAATGGCCATTTTCAAAGGCTATGTTAAATTATCAGAGGGTAACATCCCACTGTATCGTTCCAGGGATTTTTCACCCTGGGTTTCCGTACGGAACCTGTGAGGTCTATAGCATCGTGCAGAAGTACGGCCAGGGAGTTCACCCTGCGGTGACCGCCATGACGGGGAATCCGGAAGATCTCTTTTCCAACCAACAAGGCCAGTTACCCTCTGGTTATTTAACATAGCCATGGAGAATGACCCATTTATAGATGGTTTACCTGGGTTTACCTATTAAAAATGGGGATTTTCCATGGCTATGTTAAATAGCCAGAGGGTAAAAAAAAACACGACCGTTTCGGAAGACGGGTGGAAAAAACGGGGGGAAATCGGAAATTTGCTGAAGAAAAAAGTTGTCTAGGACACATTTTTTCCATAGTTTGGGGGAAGATCTATACATATCTATAAATATTTTAGGGCAGAGTTTTGACTCCCCACAGCCAAAATGGATGGCTTGGGGCTGGATGGGTGGCTGGGAGATGTGACTGGAAACTGGAGACGCTCATCCTTGGGCGGATTTTTGCATTCTGCCAAGGACCTTTGTGCTTGCAAGGGTTGCAAGCTTGATGAATCCGTGCATCATCACAGTCTTTTCATGTGGTTTCACCATGTCACATCAGGTTTCACCATGCTTCACCACTCCAAAATTGATTGTCTCACCTAGCAGTGTCAGATCCCAGTTGGCCAGCTTTTGATCCCAGTTGGTCACCGATTTTTGAGGCATTCGAGTGCTGAGCTACTGGGGCTCTGAACCCCAAAGGATGCAAGATGTCTACCAGACCGGTGGCTTCCCACCGGTGGTGCAAGCCATGAAGCAGTTTCAGGCGACATCGGACCAAGGGAAATCGATGGGGGTTTCCATAGTCATGGGGATACCCCAAAAATGGATGGTTTATTTCATGGAAAATCCCATCTATAAATATAAATGGATTATTTGGGGGTACCCCCGATTTCAGGAAACACCCATATGAGTAACTGACAAAATTAGCTAAAGACTAAAATAGTAGGGAGTGGACTTGGGATGTTCAAATTTGTTTGAAAACCTTCACAACCGACTCAGGGGACCAGCCACTTACCGATAGCCTATTTTCACACATAGCATGGAGGTACAAACCTTCACTCATATGGGTATGGATCAATACCTATACATACCATTTTTATGGGGATGAACATCCATTTACGAGCTATTTTGATGTGAACAGAAGGGGTACAAGGTTTTGACACACTGCCATATGGATGGAACATGGGGCGAGTTATGTGGACACGATAGGACGGATCACACCTGATCGGGATAGGTTTGATAGATATTTTTTGAACTTAGATGAAATCTGGACATCAGATGGCATTATGTTACCCTCTGGTTATGTCAAAATAGCTATTGAAAATGACCCATTTATAGTGAGTTTTCCCATTGATAGCATGGCGATTTTCCATAGTTATGTTAAATTACCAGAGGGTATACATGATGAGCAAGTTAGACATAGTTAAAGTGAGAAGACATATCACTGGCGGTTGCCAACCATGGTGGAACAGCCAAAAGGTCAGTTCCAGGGGTCCCTTCAACTCTTCATGGTTTTCATCGCCTCTCCTGTTGTGTTGGGGAAGCTAACAAAGATCCAAAAAAATAAGCGATTTTGACAGCCGAACGACCGGACTTATGCTGGATGTATGTAGTTAGATGGGGTAATTAATCAAACAACATAAATATATATATATATTAAAACGATTCAAACTAACACACATAGCTGGGGGGACCATGAACTTTTTGTTGTCCCTTACTCATCCCTTTTAGGATTGGTTACTCTTAAACCAGGACGACCCTGGCGTGAGCCGCTACGGAGTTCAGTTTCTATCACATGCTGCAGGGCAGAGCACCGAAACTCGCAGATGCGTTGTGATTGGTGAAACACGTGGACTCACAACGGAACACGTGGACTCACCAACGGTTGCATGGGTCAATGGTTTCGTTGAAGGGAAAAATCTGCAGGAAACAATGTTTTTTCCTTCTCCCATCAAATATGGGGTTTCCTGTAGATTTTCCCTGATTCTATTGAAGAGGGATATCATGCGGATATGGGTCCGTTTGATTCAAAATTGGTATTCCATGGTCCCATTTTGAGAGCAATTTGAATTGGGAAAATGATGCTAAATCCCATGGGATTTGGGAGGTGCACGATTTTCCAGCGATCTGATTGGGAGATGTCATGGCGCACCAACGACGGTCACGGCTAATCAGGTCGTCAGGTCGCTGTTATGTTTTTTTTAATCCCTTGCAGCTTGGGTTTCGACGTGTGAAAAAATGTATTGTTGGTTTCCACATCCAGTTGCTGCATTTATCCTTCCCTGCTTTCGAAGAATTCCAGGCAAGTATGCTAGCAGTTTCAACTACCTTGTGACAATGGACAATCCACCATTTATGGCACATTGATGATTTTTCCCATTAAACCTCTGCTTAGAGGGGACTTTCCGGTTTGACATGTTTGATTCGATTGTCCTATTACATAAATCCCATTAAATACCATTAAATCCCTATTTGTTGATTGTCAAACCAAGTTAGTAAATGTTTTTTGACCTTTTTGGTGCTTGCTAAGATATATTAATATCTTCATCACTTTTGCGTTTGCATATATATATACACATTATATGTATACATGTTATATATATAATATATATATATATGTACATAGACACATTACAATATCCCTTCAACCGCGTTGACGCTTTTCGGAATCTTAATGGGTCCACAGGGTCCACACCACCCAGCTGCAAGGAATACATGCGGGAGCTACATCATCTGGGCAGTGTACCCATTGTGATCCAGCAGATGAATCAGTTCCCCCAGGATGTTTCCTGTCGATGCTTCAGCACCTTTCAGATCCTTTCAGCCCCAACTATTTTTGGATATTTTTGGGGTTTCGAAATTGAGAATGCGAGAATCAAAGTGGCCAAAAATGGTCACTTTGCAATCAATCATCTATAACAATGTATAGTTATGTATAATATATAGTATATATGCGGACCTGTGGAGTGTCCCCCATTTCAAGACCACCTCCTTTTTCTCCAATTGCCACCACGTTATTAGTACGTAGCTAGACCTTTCTTAAATGGCTATGGGTCACAGAATTCTCGACCCAGCAACATTCGATACTTCCAAGTCTTCCAAAATCTGGAGATGATCCAAATTTTCCCTCCATTTCCCCAAACAAATGGCAATCTCCCCCCACTTTTTTTCTTTCCCCGGTGTCCTTTACCGCAACGTCGTTTTTTTCGCCGGCCGGGATGTCACAGGTGCAGCTCCAGCAGTTTGGCTGCCAGTACCTCTGTTCCATGGCGCAAGCCATGCCGGACGTCCGGGAGGAGATCCTGCAGAACGGCGGCATCCGACCCCTGATCTCGGCCATGAACAACTACCCCCAGGACGAAAAGGGCGTGGGAAGTGGGAAATCGCTTAGAACAAAAGGATCTTAAGAAGCCGTGGGTGAGGTAGCATTTTTATGAATATATGATATATGATATCAAACATGAATACATATACTAGTATATATATATATAGAGATTGTTGTAAATTATACCATATATATATATTATTGTTGAAATATGAATTGATGCATTGGTGGAGTTTTGGTCCTGAATCTTTGATGTCATAACCCCCCCCCTGATGATCATTGGGAACCCCCCCTTGGACAACCAGTAGTTGAACTATGATGATCAATGCTACCAACCTGCCCCATGGTTGTCCACGTTGGAGCATACCGAACTTCGCCTTTCAAATCACAAGTGTGGTTGTTGCGTTCCTATTGATGCCTCAGAATAGGGGTTCTTTTCAATCGCCTTCAAAGAGTTTTCTGGTGGTGGAAGAATCTTGCATGGCCGGTGATTTGACATAGACATTCCCACTTACTGCAGCAGAATGGGTCAAAATGATTGGACCCTGAACTGATGGTTTCATACAGTGCAATACCATCATACAACCGATTCGTCCACTAGTACCCCAGTTTTGACCCGTGCCCACATGACATTTCCCCACAGCTCAGGGGTACGCGCAGGACCCCATGGTTCATCGCTATGCCTTGTCAGCTTTATCCCCCTTGGCCTACATCCCCGAGAACGGCGCGCAGATCATCGATGCTGGTGGGGTCTCCGCGGTGAAAAACACCCTGCAATATCACTCTGGCGATCCGCAAGTTGCCATCAGCGCGCTGAGTATCTTATGGGATTTAAATATTTTTATGTTTTGAAATGGGTTTGTCCGAAAATAGTGTACCCCAAGATTGCAATCTTGGAGTATACATGGGAATCCCCCCTTTTCCGGACAAAACCTATGTTTTGATTTTCAATCCCCAAGAAAAAACCATTCGGTGAGATGGTGAGATGATCCCAGGTATGATCAATGAATTGGCGAAGCACGATGGCTGCAAGGATGCCCTGGTGGAGGCCGGCATCATCCCGATACTTCTCAACGTCATGCAGGGGCACGCGGGAAATCCCCATGTCCAGGCACTGGGACTGAAGTGCCTGGCAACGTTGTGTGCCAACAGCACCTCCATCCAGTCTGGGCTGTATCCTGGTGAGCTGCTGAGTTTTTTTTTTGGGTCTTTTTCATGGGTAAATCATGGTGAATCGGTAATCGCAGAAACATCCAGACCTGGGAAATCTACTTGAAGCTTGAAATGACCTTGGAATTTGTGTCTATTCTCTTCTTGTCTCATCCCAGGTATCATGCCCAAGGCATTCCCGCGATTCTCAACGCCATCCGTTCTGCGGCAGATACTCGGGCCACGGATGCGGGCACCGTGGAACTCATCACCGAGGGGGTGAATCTCCTGGCAGCCATCGCCAGTAACCAAGAGTGCCGGCCGCTGATCATGCAGCATGGTGGCATCGAGATTACTTTGCAGGTCATGCGCTTCTATATCGACTTCCCCTTGATCCAGGACCTGAATCACTGAACCCGGGTCTGGGAGGTCTTCGGAAAAACATTCGGACTGCGGAAGAACGGGTGTTCTGCCATTCCATGGTGGATTTTGTCAAAGTTGGATACGAAATCAGCCATTGATATTTTGTGGCCCATTTTGCCTGGGAAAATGTAGGCTTAAGCCATGTTAAGCCATGTTTCTAGCCATGACATGTGAAGGAAACAGCTCATTTTGAAGCCACAAATGATGGGGACTTAAAACAGGAGCATTGCCTGCGGATCCTCTCGGGTCTCACTCTGTGGCCGGAAGCAGCAGCGAAGCTGCTGCATGCAGGGTACATTGACTGCATCATCGCCGCCATGCTGATACTTGGCGAAAATCAAGGGAATATCATGGGGATAATATGGGATAATTACTTTTGATGATTTTAAAAGGGAGACTGGACTGTTTTTCTTTTTTCATTTCGGGTGTACTGTACTCGGATTAAAAAAACCGTTTCTATCCGTTTCTCATTGGTTGATTCACAGTACACGCCATTGGATCATCGAGCCGGGATTGAGTCTGCCTTACCTCTTTACTGATCATGCTCGGCAAATATAGAGGCTACAGGTATGATATATATATATGGTCTTGTGTTAAGTGTTCCTACCCCCCCCAATGGTATGGGTCCCCAGGTAGCACCCCGTTCCCTTCTATTTGCAAGCTATTGGCAGCGTTTCTGAGGTCCAGCCTCGTGTTTGCTAGGTTTTTGCAGCGATTCTGACTACCAACCTCGCATTTACTAGGTACATGCTACCTTTTAGACGACCTACGTAGCACACACATACTCCCTCAACGTACCTACGTGCTACCTATAATCATTTATACATGTGCTATGTATCTACTTCTTATATATATATATACATATGTATATATATATATGTATGTATATATATACATATATACATATATATATACACATACATATATTAAATATATATATATATATACATGTATGCTTATATATATGTACGCAGTACCACACCCCCACCACACCACAGGGGGGGGAGGAGGACAGTACTATGGCTGACCCATAACCATGGCGGGGGGGGTTGGAACGCTGGACCACATGTATAATATACTGTAATATATCTACATCCTTGATGAGCTGCAATAAATTTTGTTATCATATCACCGTTTTTGACAAATATAGCATGTTTGGAAGAGTTGTGCTATCTCGCTATCTGGCACCAGGAAGTACCCGGAACACCAGGGCGTTCAAATGAGTGGAGCCTATGCCTTGGGCATGGTGGCTGGGTCTGACGATGCCAAGAGCGCGGTCATCAATGCCAAGGGAATCGAGGAAAGGGAAGGGAAGTGCTCCAGTGGACAGGGGGACAGTTGGCAATCCTTGTCCAGACGAGCCGCGGTAAAACTATGTAAAACTATGTGGTTTACCTGGGTTTATAAGTTTATCAGTTAATCACTGTAGTCTTTAATAATTTGAAGTTCTATATGGGTATGGATCAATACCTATTAATACCATTTTTAGGGGAATGAACATCCATTTACCAGCTATTTTGATGTTCACCAGGGGTACAAGGTTTTGACACACTGCCATATATCTTTAGGTTGATGGGTTGAAACTTGGTAGGTGTTGGCTGCTTGGTTTCCAGTCAGGCTCTGGTTGCAGCGATGTATTGGCATTCCACCGATCAGCATGTCAATGAACAAGTCTCCTGGCGAAAAAGGAATGGGCACGAAAAAAAAAGGGCCATGTGAGCCACTCCAAAAGCCCACAACTTGGGGTTCGATAGTACATTTCTGTTATATATATACAATTATATATAACATACTGTATGATACATATTTATAGTCATACATACTGCAGTAGCTGGTTGAATAATGGTGACTCTCATGATATCACTGGCATTGATGAAATTGAATGGGGCGTAGATGGGCGTAGTACCATGATATTACCTGGCATGTACATGATTGACACTCCTTGATCGGAAAATCCAAACTTTATAGTATCATTTCATGTCTGGAAAGACCATATTGATACATCTTTATTGGCCAAACTTTATTGGGATCCCCCAGTTTCTGGCCAGTTTAAGATCCTAATGGTGAGCCATTTGGCAGTCCAAGCAGGTACCCCAGCATTGACTTGACTCATACCTGATGGCATCATGAACCTAGGATTCTGTGTCTGGAAAAACCTTATTTATGTACAAAGGATCCACCAAGTAACAATGAATAATTATCAACAATGTGAACCACACACTATGATAATGTACAGTAGCTTTCCAGCCGCTTGTAAACCAACATCTTTGAACTAAATTATGATTGGGTGGAATATGAAGTTCGCACTTATTGTTACATGGACTTATATGTGGTGTTTCTGTACGTATTACTGGAACTGTACGTCCATGAATAAACCAATACCATTCTAGTAACGTAGGGGTTTGGTTGATGGTTTGGAACCCAGGAGTCCCCTTTAAAATTAGAAGGGCAGGGGATTATCATTGCGGGGTATTATGCAAAAAGAAACAAAACAAAGAACCTGAACCACCAGTTAACCAGTCGCCTCAAACAACAGTTTTAAAGCAGCAACAATTACCAGTTAAACCAGTCCTTAGACTGTGCGCAAACTACCAGTTATGTAGCCAGTGGTTGAATCGGCTTTGTCTGAAAATAGGGTACCCCTAAAACCCCATTCCATCCACCGCTTAATCATCATTATCCCTATCAACATCGCCATGTTATGGGGTCAATTCTTCATTTTTGGACAAAGCCAATCATATCGTTGATGATATCATATCAAATTAATATAATAACAAATACCCTCTGGTAAATTAACATAGACCCTGGAAATAACACAGTTTTCTAGTGTAAACTAATCTTCCAACCCCTTCTGCCAGGGTCTATGTGAATTTGCTGGAGGGTTACCATGAATTTTGGTTTACCCCACCACAACGAACTGCCGCCGAGGCCTGTGCGGCTCTGTCGATTCTTTGCGAATCGGATCGCGGCAAGTCCACTTTGGCGAAGACGGTGGTGGTCGCTGGGAAAATCCGTTGGGTCAATTGAACCCCCCATTGGAATTTCATGGGATATGGATGGATTTCGTGAGGGTTTCCTAAAATGGTGTTATTTTCAGTCATCATCCTAGGATTATGTAGGATTTTCCCTTACAAACCGTCGATTTTGGGTATTCCCATTTTAGGGAACCTCCATATGGCTAGCTGCTAGGAATATCATTTTTGGATATGATAGGGATAATATCATACTTAAAGTGCAGTTCCAGGAATCGTAAGTGGCTAGTAACCCATGGGTGTATCCCACCTACAACTGAGTTGTATCATGGTTTTTGATGACTTACTAAGCGGGATGCACATCCAAGTAAGGAAATGATGGGCATGTAACCATTCATACAGGGATGTAATGGTATGGGATATATAACCGACAATCTGATATATGGGTCTGTTTACGATGGGATCTACCACCATTTTATGGCAATTCAATACACTTTGGAACATGATTATAAATCAGTGGGATTTTGGGCTGACCCTATTTTCAGACTTATCCATATCACCATGGTTGATAGGATATTTTAAAGGACACCATGAATGTGTCAGCCAAATACAGAAAGACCGGGTTTCAAATCTAAATTCTCCCTTAAACTAATTCTAGAGTTTCCTGGGGTTATCCTGAGATCATACACCAAATATAAAGACTGCGTATAGACATGGCTTGTCAATTTGTGGGCCGTGCTCCTGGGTATATCTAGATTGTTTCACCCCATTGAACTGGCGTGTAGGTTACCTCAAGTAAATGGTTATTTGAATGATCCTGAATGTTGATATCTCATTTATTGCAATATATATATAATCCGCAATTGAAGCGGTGACATATACATCATTTCAATCTATAAACAGATTATAAAGCAATAGTTAACTGAGATTATCAATGATATCTATAATCCTAATGTACTGCAAAGACTTTCACAATCCCATTACACACATGGATGCCTTTTTGCCTCCGGCATTTTTGCAGTGTGGCACTCCGGGCTGAGTGGGGTGCTGGTACACTAGGTCTCTGGTAACCTATATATGCCAGCTGCTTAATTAATACTAGTGAATATCGAATAATAGTTCACTATACAATAATAGTCGATCACAGTGAACGGTTCATCCTTACGAAACGTAACTACGTAACTAGGACATGTGAGTATATATATAATATTAGTAATTGTATTAGTAATTTTTTAACATTGTATATAGTAACTATATATATACATATTCATAAGTGCATCTACAGACTATGAATATATGACTATAGTATGACTATACCTAATATTAGTTAAACTATTACAATATATGACAATATTATGTTACATTGATGATTAGTAACAATAGAAACAATAGATTTACAATAGTAACAATTACAATGTAATAGTAACAATATTGATAGATAGATAGATAAATACAATAGATTTACAACTATTAGTAACTATTATTACTAACCATTACTATTACAATCATTACAATAGTAACGTACCAGATTTTATCTGGGCCTCCTCAGATCTTCCTTTCGTGATTTGAGGATGATCAGAGCTCACCTGAGATCATCGCCAACTCCATGCGGAACCTGTACAACATCGCTCCTGCGTCGGATTCAAAAATGTGGGTGAGTGGAAAATGGAGGTCTTTTTTTTTTGGGGATATTGATCCATGAATTGGGATATAATAGGGATATGACGTATGTATGTATGTATGTATGTATGTATGTATATATATATATATGATTGTGAAGTAATTGGTGGAATATAGTCTCAACACTATGATGTTTGAGCAAGTGGCTGAAAATGTTGTTGAATATGACCCATTTTATAGCGATGTTAATAGGAACATGGCGATTTACCAGTGGATTTAGGGGGTTTCCGAAGATTTTCTGATAGGTTTCCGCATCATCAAGTGAGTTCAAGCGGACCACCGCGTCTCAATGAATCACTATGATACTTCAAGCAGAATTATGGAATTTGGACCCAGGGACTGCATCATTGAAAATCAACGAGCTACGAGAAATTCTTCGAAGAATTTTCGTGCAAAAGTAATCGTGATGTGACCCTGTGACAATGATTCGCCTCTTTATCAAGTTATGCTGCATCCAACTTGAACCTAGCAGTTGCGTGTGGTCCTAATTCAAAGGCTTGCTACGGAACATCTACAGGAAACCAGGGCCAACTCCACGGATGTCACTGCGCTAAGGGCAATACCCTGAAGCAAATTGCCAAAGTGGTGGCGATTGCCGGTTTGGATGATGTGATGACGCTGGGTTTCGACGGGCGCTTATCCCATGATCTCCGATGATACCTTCACGGCTCCCCCAAATAGGATTAGTTGATCATCAATTTTTCCCATTAAAACTGCAATTTTGGCCGTAGCCCAATAAAGGTACTTCTAGTCCTTTTCCCAATTCAATGCCTGCGATTTTTGGGAAGGTAAAAACATGTAAAAACGATCCAATACAGCTCTTAAGGTCGCATCGGTCTGAAAAAGTTCTTCAGGAGGTATGAACCACTTTTATGGGGATTTTTCATGGTGGTACCATCTATAGAACCTTATGATATTTGGGTTTGTACATGGGGTATACCCAATTTGAGAGACAATTTTCATGGGGGACCATGATGATAAACAATAGAATCGTGAGATTTTGATATGGGCAGATTAAAGCTACCAAGTCTTATCAAGTAATATCAGTATCATTCCATACATTGCTTTGTATTTTGATATATACACCTCTGACTCACTCTCTCTCTCTCTCTCTCGCTCTCTCTCTCTCTCTCTCTCCCTCTCCCTCCTTCTCAATGAATATACACATCTATAAATACACACATCTACAGATAGATAGATAGATAGATAGATAGATAGATAGGTAGATAGACAGACAGACAGATAGATAGATAGGTAGATACATCAGCCAAACACTGTTTTTTGTTGGGGCGAAGTTATGGGAATCAGTTCGACTTGGCCGTCTTCTTTGTTACTGTGATGGTATATGACACCGTCATTCTTTGATTTTCTTCCTTGCACGTGTCCCTCAGCGATCAACCGATACTGTACTTGAAGTCTTCGAAACTTTCTCTGATCTCATTGCTTCTTTGAAGTGATACAAGGTGGTGCCTTATAGTTAGCTAAGTTGGTTTATAGCTCCAATAACTATGGTTTATGGTAAGTAGATATATCTATACTTACTATGGTTTATAAACCAACTTATAACTGGGGGGCACCACCTTGTACACATTTGTTTGCAAGGTATAATATACGCTCCAGCATTTGCCCCTGCTAGTTCCTCTGAATGAGGCTAGGGGCCCATTATAGCCATGGTTTCGATCAAACAATGACCATAATTTGGGCGAATTCTCCTCCATTGTTGGATTTGCACCCTATCTCATATCATTGCTTATATATCCACACATATATATATATAGATATGTATATATATAATAATGATATGTATATATATATATATGTATATATATATAGATATATGTATATATATATAGATATGTATATATATATATATTTGTATGTATATATAGGCTCGTCCCAGGTCCTGGAACTACATACGATGGGGTGGGGGGATGGGGTGGGATGTTAACGTTCATGTGAACTTGCAGAAGCAGTTGATTGTACGCACACGCGGGATGGGGTGGGATGTTAACGTTCATGTGAACTTGCAGATGATGATGATACTAATGCTGATCATGATGATGATGATGATGATGATGATGATGATGATGATGATGACCCTAATGAAACTTGTCAATTCCGCGACGAAGTTTCGTCAAGGAATTGACAAGTTTTACCAACCTAATTCGGGTTTGCGCAGTTCTAGGACCTGGGACGAGGCTATATATACATATATATGTATATATAGACACACATATATATATATATATGTATATATATATATATGTATACATATATATATATGTATATATATATGTATGTGTATATATATATATATGTATATATATATATATGTATATATGTATATATGTATATATATATGTGTATATATGTATATATATATATATGTGTATATATGTATATGTATATATATATATATAAATGTATATATATATATATGTATGTATATATCATAGATCCCATGAACTATGACCGCGAGGATATCCATAAAAACATGAGAATTTCCAGCGGCTTATTCTACACTCCATCCATGGAACCCATCTTCGACGTCACTGCGAGCATGATGGTTTGGTCTGGAGTAACTCTCTCATAATATTCTTGCAGGGCTCTAGGTTCAAAGACCTCAGAAAGTTATAGCAGTTATAGCTGATAATTGTTTTGAGTTTTAAAGGACAGTCCACAGGCTTCATTTTCAGGTTCTGCCCAACATCTCAGTTTGGTGAATTACTGTAGTTTATCCAGATATCTAGCCAATCTAGCGATTTTTTATGGCTAGTTTATGGTTCATCAACCTTCACCACTTAGGAAGGATGGCTTTTTGAAGGCCTTCATCCTCAATGGTCTGGTGCAATCCCTGGAAAGCCACTCCCAGGACGAGCACGGGGGGATTTTCAGGAATCACTCCACCTACCCTCTGGTAATTTGTTACATAGCTATTGAACATGACCATTTATAGTGGATTTTCCTATAAAAAATGGTGATGTTCCATAGTTATGTTAGTTTACCAGAGGGTACAGTCTTTTTCCAGTTGTTCAATATGTTGTACCCGATTTTTTTTGGGTTCTCTACTTCACAACCATTCACACATTCTGTTGGAAGAGCACGTCTCATTGGGAAGATCATCCTTGAGCAGCTGGCCTCCCCCAATGACACTTTCATCAAAGTTTCCCTGATGGGTTGAAACCCTTGAGCTTGGTATCCTTATATTTAGGTTGAAACGATTGACCTTGCCTTTTTCATATGCAAAAACTGCAAAAAAAACTTGCTTGCCAACACACCATCACCATCCATCACCAGCATCGCAGGACCAAGGTGTTGCCTTCTACGTGTTGAAGGCCATTGTAACCTTGGCATATCCATACCCACCTCCGCAGATGCTGACTTTGTGTGGAAGTCTTCTGGATATCGTCATCGCCATCATGAAGCTCTTCCACTCAGAGGCTCGCATCCAGGAGCGGATGCTGTTCGGTGCGCGTGGTGGCACTGATTCGAAGGACATGAGGTTTTCTGATGTAGAACATCTGCATTTTTGAAGGGATTTCCTTTTTTTTTTTTCTCTCTCTCTCTCTCTCTCTTTCCTTATGTACATATATCATATGAGCCACCGCAAAAACACCTTCCCAAATTTGTGGATGTCCTTTCCGTGAACCTAGGGTTTTCGAGATTGCTCGTATATATATATATATATATATACGTACATCGGATAATATATATATATGTATAATATATATATATATATATGTATATTATATATATATATATGTATATATTATAAAATATATATATTATTTAATATACTTTATTATATATAATTTATATAAATGATATTGCTGGACCCAGGCATCATTACTGTATCGCAACAGGTTGGATAACACTTTCCGATCTGAGATTCTCCAGCCATGAAACCATCCATGGATAATAGAAACCATAGATGGTTAGTAGATTTTAGTAGAAGATTCACCATTATGATGGGATTTTAATGGGTGTATACTCAACTAATGTGGGGATATAATGACAGATATCATCTATTCCATCTATTCCATCTATTCACCAGATGATTATAATCCATACCCCAAACTTTGATGGTTTCACAAACATGACGACACTTCAGGTTCCAGCCTTGATGGCTATCCCATCCCCAAGCAATTTTACAGGAGACTGGTTGCGAGGTGCTTTCGATTCTTGCGAGATTGGAAGACATGCAGGAACCGATCATCTCCAAAGGAGGAATTGGTTTGACCCATGTCCCGAGGTCCTGAGTTAAAATTCTGCCAAATTCAGGGTTGGATGTTGTTGAAAAGTTCTGGTACCCTCTGGTAAACTTTCACATAACTATGGAAAATCACAATTTTTAATGGGAAAACTCACTATAAATGGCCATTTTCAATAGCTATTTTGACATAACCAGAGGGTAAATGGACCTTTGGTTTGTTTGAGCTGTGTCCCAAGAGAGTTCGGAGCATCTTGGAGCTACGTCATATTCTTTCAGATCCTTTCGCACTACAACTGGTTTATTGAGGAGGTACAACCCATTTCATTCCTATGTTTTTATTAACCATCCAATATGTCATGGGAAGGGGCTCGTACCAAATTTTGATGGTGAAAACGATGATTTCAACCGTAAAACTTAAGCCTTAAACCAATCCAATGACGGTTGTAAGTTGATATATGTACTCTACTCGTACCATAAATATCCATATAAATCCTAGTTACATCAGTTCTTTGAGCCAACTTAGATATCTAATTCATCTACTATATCTATATCACCTATCAACCCCCATTCTTAGTAAAATCATCTTAAATCCACCATTTTTCTTGGTTGGTTACATTCTCATGGTACGTTCTTCGGCGTTCCAAACGCCGCGTGTGGACCGAGGATTTGTTTGGCCCTGAAGACCTATCAAGCCGACACTGGGATCCAGCGCAAGGGCTGCCGCGCCTTCGCCAATCTCGGAGAGTTCCAGGTGTCTCGCGAGGCCATACGGAGAGAAGGAGGCGCGGCGAGTGGTGCCGTTGTAGCCGTTGCAATGGGAAATGGTTGGGGAGTTCAGCTGGAAATGGTGAGTTAGAACATATTATAACCGACTTAATTATTTTTTTCAGCTTAAGGATGCTTATAAACATGTTTGTGATGTTTTTTGGGGAAATGGAGGAGTTGTAACCACTTAATTTAAGATTGAGACTCAAATTGGGCAAAGTATATTGGGACATATTGGGACCAGCATTTTTGTGATGCAACTTGGGACTCAGATTTCTAAAGTACAATGATGTCAGACATCATGGGAGATAATGGTGAGTAAGGGCAAGTATCCCAAAATGGCTGAACGTTTCAGTTTTGGCTGACTTTTCTAAGCATAATTTACCGGGCCATTCTAATGGGTAATTATATGTAATTATATATAATTCTTGAGAAAGCACAGGAGTTTTGGGTATGGGAATTTCGGGGGTGTAGTTTTGAGGGGTAAAGGTGGAGCCCAAAAGGTTGAGCCCATTCTTTTGAGCAGATCGCTTTTCTCCATGATTTTATGTTTCATTCATTTATTGGTCAAATGACTTTGGGCCATACTTTATGTGCATCTTTATGCTTATATACCCGGACAATCCTCTTGCCTTGATTCTTCTGACCAAACGTGCCCCACCCATTCAATCTATGATATGGAGGAGATCCTGGGTTCAAGAAATGCTGTGGCATATCATCCAGTGATGCTGCTGCTCCCCCACTCGCAGTTATGAACAACACTCTCCGCAGGCATTGAGCTGATTGTCTTAGGCATGAAGTACCATGTGTCTCATCCTGAAGTCGGAACCTTGTCCTTTGCGCTGAAATCATTCTGGGGATTCATCAAAGTCATTTGTTGCGACCCCAAAATCATGGTTAAATGACGGTTGAATTCTAAACTTCACTCCGATTTGCAGGGGGAAATCAGCCATTTGTGAATGATTTTGCCAGCTAGAAACCTTCGTTTAGTGTTGGGATTTGCCAGCTAGCCATGCATCCCAGGGTTTGCCAACTGCTGTTGGCATAGGTCAAAGCCCTTGAAGCCTGATGAACACCAAAATAGCTGGTAGTTCTGGATGTTCATTTCCCCAACACACATGGCGTCTGGTAGGTTTTGATCAATCTCCATTAATTAGTCATATATTATGATACATTTCCCTATTATATCTCATCCCTTTTCCCAGTTGAATTATATCCCATCATACCGATACCCTATCATATCCCATCATATCCAACAATAGAATAAACCAGGTTATCATATTTTGTCAATGTTATAATCTCATCCCATATAAATTTCATGATCTTCTCATCTACAGCCCGTGTATATTTGGAAGTGTCCATGGTGGTACCCCCAGGTCATCATCCATGTTCTTTGTAGGATTTTCCATGAAATACACTCTGGTAAACTAATATAGCTGTGGACATCACCATTTTTAAAAGGCAAATCAACTATCATCAATGGCCATTTTCAATATGTTAAAAGACCAGAGGGTACATCTCCGTTAATAACCATTAATCACCATTAATTATCATTATCAAACACTAGAAACATATCATTATTAAACACTATCAACCATTATTGACCATTAAAGACCACTATCAACCACTATCAACCACTATTAACCACTATTAATCATTTAAGACCACTATTAGCCATTATGAACCACTCATAATAATCTATAAATCCGAGGAGAACAAGGTTGCGCTGCCCTGGCGAACTTGGCGCTGGACGAGGCCAACCGCAGTCACATCGCGCAGAAGGAAGGCGTCAACGCGGCGCCTGGGACGAACACGGGGAGATGTTTGATGCACAGAAAGCTATGCCATAATTATACGGTGAGTATATATATTATATATAATATACATACACATGTATAATATACATGTATATACCCTCGGGGACCCAGGTTCTCCGATGACCGCACACCGGTTGTTGCCCCGCTGCAGATGATCCCGTTGTATCATGCTCCGCGACAGGGCAGGGTGGGGTGCGGGGTGGGGTGGGGTGGGGTGTATTATCTTTCGTGGAATGTTGATCACGTTGTTGATGCTCCGCTGCAGATGATCACGTTGTATCATGCTCCGCAACAGGGCGGGGTGGGGTGGGGGGTGGGGCGGGGTGGGGTGCATTATCGTTCGTGGAATGTTGATCACGTTGTTGATGCTCCGTGTTCAATCTGTTTGGTTGCAGGTGATGCGCAGGTGGTCCCCGGGGGATATCAATGTATACATATGTACATATATATATATACTGTTAACAGAAATGGTGATAACAGACGTAATTAACGCTTACTTGATGATGATTTATAGGAATTACTTGGATTAAGACAAGTAATCGTTGGTTCATGCTCCATGGTCAGTGTATAATAGTATAATAGTGAACAATGATGATCCATTACTATGAACAAAACTAGCTACATGCATTCTTACAGTGAGTGATCATTAACAATATCATTGATCATATCATAAATTACCACAAAAAAAACTCGTCATGAGCACAGATGTCGAAACAAAAACAATATCTTGAATCCATATGGGAAATACCATGGAAAATTCACCACACATGAGTTTCGATTGGGAAAATACAATGAAAACACATGCACGAAAGATAAAAAACAACAAAAAACATGCTGACTGTCAGGGTTCCTCACTTTCAAGCAACATTCAAATGTAGTGCAAATACCATGTAAAAGAAGGCTATCTTTATTTTGCTTGTGAAAACACAGGGTAAAATGAGATGTTTCAATATATGTTGCATACCATCGCAACGTATCTGTGCTGTATTTATAAGGGGATTTACAACTATACCCTCCTAACCCATATCAAGTAAATCACAGCTTTGTAAGCGCTCAAAACGGACGAGATTTTTTCATCCGTTTTGATGCCCAATTCCACATAACAATGCTTCATGTCCAAATGCTAGTTTCGCTATGGCGAAACGCACATTTTTCACATGTTTGATCATCAACACCTATCATCTATCGGAGAACCTAGGGCCCCATCCGTGTATATATATATATGCATATATATATATATAGATGTGTATATGTATAACATACATACATACATACAATATATATACTATCAGGGTACATCGGTGCATGACCATTTTGTCACATTCTCGTAGCCATGTTTCTGGGGTCGTGAACAGGGGTGAAAAGGAGGTACCAGGCAAGCACAAAGAGAACACAGGATCATCTTGAGGACTGCATGCAGTTTGAGTGGAGCAAGCCTGTTGTTCGCCCGCCTTGAGTGCCATGTCCGCTGCTGATGCAAACGCCGCGGCAGCTGCAGCCCCACCGGCCGCGGCTGATAGGGTTGCTGTGCTGAAGGAAGAGCGCAAAAATTTGAAACGCCAGTTAGCAGCAGCCACCAAAGAACTACAGAACCAGGAGAGTGCATGTAAATGCATGGATACGGTGTCTTTTCGTGAGTGCAGGTGGGACATGTGAACGCTGAACCCATGTTGAAAGACATGTACTCCATAGCCTGCAGGAAAGGAAACGAAGACGTCTTCTACGACAAGCAGGAAAGCTGGATGTGAGTGATTTGACGTGGCTGCTGGCACGTCGCATGCATCCAATGGCAAGCCCGCATGAGTAGAGTCAAGCCGTGCACTATGTGGAAAGCGCCATGCCAAAGACATAGAGCGCTTGGAGTGAGAGCGGCCATGTGAAGGTTCGAAAGCACCATGCCAAAGGCATGGACACTAGGAGGGAAAGCTGGCAACCGCAGACTTGCAAGCGCCATGGTCAAGACATAGAGCGCTTGGAATGAGACCATGTCAAGGCTGAAAATCCCAATGCCAAAGGCATAGCGCGGCAGGAGTGAAAGCTGGAAACCGCAGACTTGCAAGCGCCATGTCGAAGACAAAGCGCTTGGAAGACATGCGCGGTCCAGAGACCCCATTTAGAAGACATCCAGGGATACAACGCTAGATAGACAAGATATCTCCCCAAGAATCTTCCCACACCCCACCTCCAAAACATCACCTCCCCAAGAATCTTCCCACACCCCACCTCCAAAACATCACCTGACCCCCCCTGGTATATTATTATAATTCCCAAACGGGGTATGCGGTCCCGCTCCTATAAATTCACAGGTAAAGTGGTCCCGCCGACGGCGGGACCGGTCCCGCCTGCAACCTGGAATCGTGGGAATTCCCACATTTTGCGGTCCCGCCGCGGTCCCGCTGCGGTCCCGCCTATAGTAATTGCGTACTGTCGCGCGCAGCAGCAACAGCAGCTTTAAGACATTACCCCCATGCACATCCTTCCCATTCCATCATTTGCAGCGGCCATGTTCCCACATCACATCTACCTCTTTTCCACCCCTTCTTCCAGCTTCCATTCCTTTTTTTTGCAGTGCTGTCGCAGCATGGCGTCTGTGGATCGCACGTGTGCGAAGCGGCAGCCGGAGAGAACTGCAGTCACGTCGGGTGAAAACATGGGCCGTGAGCGGTTTTGTTTCTGGGGCAGACCGTCTCTGTAGATATTGCTACTCAGACACGTGCCTCTACCAGTCACATTTCTCTAGCGGAAATCATCAGCAGCATTCCTGGGTGTCAACGGTCGACACGCTTTTTCCAGACCTGTGGGCCATATGCACGTCCAGCTGTTTGTGACAATGGAATCCTAGCAGACTATCTGCTCCATGTGCTTTTTTCATGCTCAAGCCTGTGACCTGCATTCTGCTTTAAGGACGTGGTGGTGAGTTCCTTGCTGTTTCTAGTGTCAAGCCCTCTCCAAAGGAAATGGGCCACCTGACAGCAAAGCGGGGTGTCGCAAGCAACTGACGTAGCACATCGCATTGGAGCCTTGCACCCAAGACATGCCATGCAGACAGGATGTTTCCGCATTGCACTTGGGCCGAGCCATGAGATCCTCCACGACACGGAAGCGTGCTGCGTGCGGGTCGTTGCGGGAACTGCTGCAAGCCAACCAGCTCGAGGTGCCGAAATTTCGGGGTGAATTGTCTCGCGCCGACTTTGCAGCGCAACGACAGCGCCTGGAGAACTGCACCTTGTCTCCGAGTGACACTCAGAAGCTGCGAGACATCATTGACCTCTATGAGGTGCCTCACCTGTTTGTCGGGTGCTAAAGACTGCGACCCATTGTTCGGGTCACTTTTCACATTTCTCACCCTGCTGCGACTTGCTCAGCCGTCCTGGTTGGTGCTACCATTCGCTGGGTTTGCACGGCCTTCTGGTTCACACTGTTTCTACTCAGCTTTGCAGGGCGTTGCAGCAGCAGACGAAGCTGGTGCAGCAGCATCGACCCAAGAGGATGTGGATATGGCAGCAGCCCCAGGACCAGGTCAGACCGCAAGTAGTTGCCATTATGTCCCTGCATCCGGGACGGTACTTTCCAGAGGGTAAGAGACCTAGAGCAGTGGATGGACATGACATGCATCAGTGACAGTAGCAAAGCTTCAGCCTTGCATGCAGATGGGAGAGACTGAACTAGAAGGGGTATAGTCATGAGTCCTAGTCGCAGCCACTTCATCGTTGCACATTTTTCACAGGTGATGCCCGCCCTTTTCGTCTTCGAGCACGAGCAGTGTTGATAACCTACAATTCCTTGCAGCTGCAGCTGGCGGATTTCGATGAGTTCCTTACTTGGCTTGCAACGTGTGAGTGGGTCGGCAAATGGAGTGCCACGATGGAATCAAGTTTGCGTTCGGAGGATGCTGGCCGTCTACATATTCATTGCTTCCTGGAATTCGCCCGCCCCGTCGACTGGCAATCATGCACGGCGCTCCGTTTCAAGGGCATTCAGCCCAATCTTTCCCCATGTCGGGCACGGGGCGCACGCTGGCGAGATGCGGCAGACCAAGGACATTTTTACGTTTGGGCTGCAAAGGTGCATCTCCGTTGGGTTACCTTGTAACGACATTCTATCTCATGTTGAAAGTTGCAGTTCATGTAGGCCACCTTTGTCACTAATCCGATCGTGTGGCAGCAGCATGACGTAGCTTCTAGTTGATCATCAGTAGACCTGGCAGCTTTGCAGCAGATCGTGTTTGCAGTCAAACATTTTGTAGGCCACCTTGGTCTGGGCACCCACGAGCCTGATTTGGATGAACTGAACTCATTGGACCGCTATCTACGTGGTTGGTCTTGCATAGGCAATCCTTCTTCTTTGTACGCATTGATTCAAGATTTATCACTATCGATATATCGAAATATATCTCTGCATATAAACATATATATATATGTGGTGATCCATCTGAAGGTCCTGATAACGAGTTTCAATTGCAAACACAGTTCATTTGTGCTGGGACCCCGCGCGAAAGTTTGTTTGCGAAACAGAAACTGTTTGCTTCGCGAAAGTGTCGCGAACGGTGGCTAGAATGCATCATCCTCATTGTCTACAGTACCGCTTGTTAAGGGCTACCACCGCCTCCCTGCTGTCGGGGGTCCGGCAGGAGACTGGGACCGCACATTGGCTTTTCCCTTCATAGGTAGCAGCCAGCTTCCGAAGGTCACGCTTCGCCAGAGCCAAATACCATGGTGGCCAAGCACATCCTTGCACCTGCCGCTGGTCCTGCCTAACGTTGCTTTCTGAAGTCTCAAGAAACAACCGCGAAATGCAGCAGCCAAGCTTCGAACAGGGACACTTTGCAAGAGCCAAACACCAAGGCACCTGGTGTTTGCTTTTCCTTTGCCGCCCCCCCGTGCTCCTGGCTGGGGTCTGCGGAGACAAGTCTTTGCACGACAGTTGCACGCAAGTGCTGCAAAAGACTTGACTAGGTAAAGTCAAAGGGCATTTTGAAGGGCGTGGCCCAGTAAGCCTTGCTAAAAAGTTCCTCAGCAGCAAGAACCTGTTCGCGAAGGGGATTCCGTGATGCTAGCAGAATGTTTGCAAGGCTATGAAGCACTTTTCCGTGCTAATTTGGTGTGATTTGGCCCGTGCCGATTGAATCTGCATAAGCGGAGTTATTGCTCAACATGGGTTGCGCGAAAGATGCACATGCAGTTCGCGAAGGATGCGCGAAAGAAACTTTTTGCTTCGCGATCAATGGCCGTTTGCAGAGACAGGAATTGACAGCAACCGGCATATGTAGATTGTTTCGTCGCCAGCATCACATCTAATCTAATTGTCTGGACCCACCACCAGATCATTTCCTCGGCTGACATGCCTTGAGTGCTGGGTGGAATTCACCCGGGCGATCTGTGCAGGTAGGAACCCATTTCGTTGCCACCAGCTCCTACGAGGCGTTCAAGGACTACACAGTGCAGGGCAGATGGCTGGATGCGCTGTGGAGTGGGCACAAGCTTTCTCATCAGCAGTACCTGCAGTACGCGTGCCTGGGTTAAGCAGCATTGTTTTCATTCCGGAGATACATCAGGGTCCACATTTATTGGACGCTCCATGGCTGCATGGCGATCAGCATATGTAGATATATAGAGACATTTTTCGAGAGATTTAGATACACACGCACACACACACACATATATATATATATCTCTTCGAGACAGATCTATACAAAGATATGTCTTTCTATATCTATCTATATCTATCTATGGATATATATATATATCTATTTATATATATATACATGGACCCAGGGGTGCGGATGCCAAAGACTCACTTTAGGCGGTGTCATTGCAGTTGACTTGTCAATAGCTGTTTATCGATCCCCCTTGATTGAAGCTCTATATGGAAGGGAAGAACCCATGTCCGGATGAAATGATTAAACCCATACTATAAATGTTTCTTTATCATATTTTATGTGGTCTGGAATATGGGTACCATAATATACAAGTAATAAAGTGGGATGGAGAAACCTGAAAATTCAACGAGGTCTGCATACCACTATTTATAAACACATATGCGCACGAAAACATGATCAGAATTCCTTGTCCCGATTCTGCTGGGGCGCGAACGGTTCGCGAAAGGGTGGCGTGCGGGCAGTTTTCGGGTACCAGAATATTGAACAACTCCGAAAAGATTTGTATGAAATGGAACATAACATAAACCCAATGTGAATTTCAGTGGGACCACTTCATAGCAGGTCCATTTCATAGAATAGGGAACGTCACAAACACCTATGTTGTTTATAAAAGTGCTGCTTCGAGTCTGATAAAGTGTCCGAACATAAGCAATAATTTGGCCGTAACATATCTTCAGATACCTTCAAATATCCCCCTTGGAATTTCCTCTACAGAATCAAGAACGTTGGGTCCTGGAAAATGGTGCGTTTTAACCCCCTGCTTTGTTTAGGGGTACCTACCCAGTGTCAACGCTTTCAATTGTATAGAGGACCTTGGGGCCTCTGATTCTATAGAGATTTCATGTTGAATACAGCACTGAGTCCTAGTCAGCAGAGAGCCTTAGCCACTGCGATTCTATAGTTGGATATGTTCTCTTTGGGTGTATGTCATGTTCTTCAATTCTATAGAGAAGTATTGGCAGAACAAATTTCCCACAACAATTCTTTCATCATCATTGATCATCCTTGTATATAATCGAAGAGGTTGACAGTGAACACTTGGAGCCTTTGAGCTCTATAAAATTGGGAATGCATAAGGTAAGGTAGGCAAGAGCAACTGGAGCATTCAGGTCAGCTGTCAATGAATGACACTTGGGGAGCCTGATTTTATAGAAGGCCAACTAACCCCCCCAACCAAAAAACGGCTCTACGAGAGTGACTTGGGGGCAGCGATTCTAAAGAGATTGTCAACTTGAAAATACCTTGGGGTCTCTGATTCTATAGATGCATTTTCAGAAAGAGGGCCAATGTCTCCAGAATTATCACTATAAAAGTGTCAACACCGTGTGCAGCAGGTTGCAGGTGCGCTTGGGCTATATCACCCGCAAACGCGCTGTGGAAGCAGTCATGCAGCAGGAGAGCGAAAGTCGCCTCCGACGTGAGCAGGCCGAAGTGGTGGCTCAGCTCCAGCCATTGCAAAAGCCATTTTTGCCAGAAGTGGTTGCCCGAGTCGAAGACTGGGCCAAACAGTATTCCATTTTAGATTCTCGGTACAAATTTCTTGTGCTCCGGGCGCCTTCGCGCGCTGGCAAAAGCACCTTGGCAAAATGCCTCCATTTCGTTTTGCCTACGTATATCCAGAAGCCTCCTTTCATTCAAACTGTCCAGGGTGCCACGGCCGCTGAGTTACAACATTACGACAGAGATTCTCACGGCTTTATCCTGTTCGACAATTGCAATTCTATGTCCTTTGTGCTATCTCAGCGGGCCTTATTTCAGGCAAACCCAGACTTTCATCGCTTAGGCCAGTCACAGACGAACATATTCTCATATCAGGTTTATTTATTCAGGGTCCCCATTGTGATCACCATAGATGAATCAACTGACTGGGATGATGACGAACCATGGATTCGCGAGAATCAGCATTTGGTGCAGCTTACCGGCCCGTGTTATCATTTGGAGTAACAGCCTGCATGGGGTAGAGAAAGGCATGGCTTGGGTTAGGTTTGTGAAACCGCCTGCGGGGGAGATTTGGGTCTACAGCTGCTTGAACCCTCAATGTATATATAATGAATATATGTATATACTATTAGTTGCACACATCCTGTAGATTAATGTATATGATAGTGTCAACAACTACACAATTGTTTCTCTTTCCCAATGCTGAAATTCCTGCGCAGGCGCACAATTTTTGAGCTTTCGGAACAGTAAACCCCTAAAAGCCTATTTTTTTAGGGCCTTATTGCTTTTGGGCGACAAAACAGATAGGCTTATAGATTGATGACTTGGTGTTGCTTTAGTCTGGCTTAGATGAATCTACTTTGGGGCCAGAGTAGTCGGCTCAGGAAACCAACACACATGCGCATCAGTTGATTACCAAACACAAGGCTCAGGTCTCCAGCCACATCTCTGGTTGAACATGTTCCTTCCCGGCAATTGGTGCCCCCAACTTCATAATATATATATATACATATGTATATATATATGTATATATCACATATGTATGTATGTATATATATATATATACATATATTTATACATACATACATACATACATACATACATACATACATACATACATACATACATACGTACACACACATACACACACATACATACATACATACATACATACGTACACACACATACACACACACATACATACATACATACATACATACATACATACATACATACATACAGACAGACAGACAGACAGACAGACATATATATGTCTTTACCTCCATTTCACCAGACGGTCATCAACCAGCAGCCATCAGCCTTGACCATCCCAGCGTCCAGCGTCGAGGTCTTGGCGGGTCTTCGCTTGCATCAGAATCATCCAGGCATCCAAGCATTTGGACTGGGCGCCCTGGGGAATTTGGCCACCGCGGAGGACAACTGCGCGGCCACTGGGCATGGCATGGTCGGGATGGGCTGGTTGTTGTTGGATGAACAAATGCCAGAAATCTTGGAAAGTGGCAAAAACTATGCAAAAAAATGATGCAATAATGATGAAGAACGACATTTTTTGGGGAAGTTCTGGTCATTTCAGGTTTCTTCCGTCCGACTCGTGTCATCCATTACAGTGGATGAACCGCTGCCAGGTGATTCTGAAGGCAGGAGCCATTGATATGGAATCTCGACGCAGGGAGGTGAAAAATAACTGGGGTGGGGCAAAGTGAGTGGGCACTCAAAGTGGCTATTGCTGAATCTGAATGTGGTGCAAAAGTGTTGCTCCATTTCTCCAATTAGATGGAATGACATGGACGTGATTCCGAGCTCTACGATACTGGCACATGGAAACTCAATGGTGACACAGCTATCAACCTCTTCTTGGGAAGACGATGAACCAAGACGAGAAATGCTGTCGGCAATCGGCATGAACTTTCCAATTGGGTGTTTTCATCACTACTTCAACCCCAAGCCTCAAAGGGATGTATCCATCAACAATAACCCAATTGCAAAGCCCCAAAAAATGACTAAGAACTCAACGAACTGCTTGGGTTTGTCCTAAAACAGATTCAAATACAGTAGGTTAAATTTTGGCACCCCTAAATTCATGAATCCATTGGTTAATCACCATTTTCCCTCCTGAAATTGCGCAACATTGATCGTCAATCCCCAATTTTCAGATCCTGAAAAAGGTGCAGATCGCATCCTCCCAAGGTGATGCATGCCATGAATGCGTGGAAAGATGAAGCCCGGGTGCAGCACTTTGCTTGTTTGGCCTTATCTAACTTTGCTCACGATGACACCAACAAGGTGGCCATTGGCGCCCCGGCGTTGAGAGATGGGCATCTTAAATGATGGCTCGGGAGACACTTGCGATACACAACCAATATCAACCAACCATTTATGATATGGGATGAAGTGGGGTTTCCCAATACACCTTGCCTGCCGTGCAACTGGGCGCAACTGATATCTGTGAGGCCGTGCCGGTGGAAACCGGATGATCATTGGATCCATGCAGAAGCACTCGGAACACGCAGGGGTTCAGGAACAGGCCTGTGGAGCGCTGGCCAATTTGGGCGTCCACCAACAAAACATGGTGGAGATCGCTCAGCTCAGCGGCATCGAACTGGTGATTGCATCACTGAAGAAATTTCCCACTGAGCCTGGCGTGCAAGAGAAACTCAGAGGCAGGAAGTGGGTATGTTTAGGATGTTTAACTATGAATTATAGTCATAATATGTCATAGTAAACACTAGTAATAGAAATAACAATGCCATAACACTACGTAGGATATTATTATTATTATTATTACTGGGGTGCATTTAACATAGTCAAATAGTCATCACCTATTTTCAGCAATCTATAATAAGGATTAGATCACATACTAAAACCAAGCGCTCGGTAGTGCACTGCTAAGGTTGGATCATACTAAAACCCAACAATTGGTATAGGGGCTGTTTTGAGGACCAAAAAGAAACAATCGGTAGGGCTCCTGGCTGTTCAAAAGGACTTAAATAAAATCAACCATCGGTCTGTTTTAAGGATTGTAACAATTCTAAAACCCAACAATCGGTAGCGCTCCCGACTGTTTTAAAAGGACTAAAAACAAACAATCGGTAGCGCTCCCGACTGTTTTAAGGACTGAAAACAAACAATCGGTAGCGCTCCCAACTGTTTTAAGGACTGAAAACAAACAATCGGTAGCGGTCCCGACTGTTTTAAGGACTAAGGACAAACAATCGGTAGCGCTCCCGACTGTTTTAAAGACTAAAAACAAACAATCGGTAGCGCTCCCGACTGTTTTAGAGACTAAAAAATCTAAAAACAAACAATCGGTAGCGTTCCCGACTGTTTTAAGGACTAAAACAAACAATCGGTAGCGCTCCCGACTGTTTTAAGAATTGAAAAAAAACAAATACAAATGAAAATCAGCATCATGCTGTTAAGATAATCACCTTGGCCAGGGGGGGGTCTGTCAGACCCCCCTCTGGCCAAGGTCGGGAGCGCTACCGATGTTGGCTAGCCTCCCCTTTATTATCTTAAATGCACTTGTAATTTTCACTATTTTGGGCTGGCCAAGGTCAAAAGGCATGCCCCATACTACGCAGGGGGGAGGCTGGCCAAGGTCGGGAGCGCTACCGACCTTGGCCAGAGGGGGGTCTGACAGACCCCCCCCTGGCCAAGGTGACTATCTTAACAGCATGATGCTGATTTTACATTTATTTATTTTTTCAATTCTTAAAACAGTCGGGAGCGCTACCGATTGTTTGTTTTTAGTCTTTAAAACAGTCGGGAGCGCTACCGATTGTTTGTTTTTAGTGCTTAAAACAGTCGGGAGCGCTACCGATTGTTTGTTTTTAGTCTTTAAAACAGTCGGGAGCGCTACCGATTGTTTGTTTCTAGTCCTTAAAACAGTCGGGAGCGCTACCGATTGATTGTTTTTAGTCCTTAAAACAGTTGGGAGCGCTACCGATTGTTTGTTTTCAGTCCTTCAAACAGTCGGGAGCGCTACCGATTGTTTGTTTTTAGTCCTTTTAAAACAGTCGGGAGCGCTACCGATTGTTGGGTTTTAGAATTGTTACAATCCTTAAAACAGACCGATGGTTGATTTTATTTAAGTCCTTTGAACAGCCAGGAGCCCTACCGATTGTTTCTTTTTGGTCCTCACAACAGCCCCTACCAATTGTTGGGTTTTAGTATGATCCAACCTTAGCAGTGCACTACCGAGCGCTTGGTTTTAGTATGTGATCTAATCCTTATTATAGATTGCTGAAAATAGGTGATGACTATTTGACTATGTTAAATGCACCCCAGATTATTATTAGTTTATCAATATTATCATCATTATTTAATAACAACTATCATTTTCTGGGATCTTTATCATCATTATTAACTATCATTAATAAATCCTATGGTTATTTCTATGACTATGACGGTTTTATAAACAATCTTTATGACATTATGTTTAAACAATTGTGAGTTTCTACTCCGTACTATTTTGTGTAAATGTATTTCCCAGATGTTTGGGTTGATGTTTGATCACGAAAGGTAGCCTAGGCTACCTGAGTTCTATGTACTTTAGTACTAGTTTAGTACTGGGGGAGGTGGGTGTTCCTTTCCCGGAAATTGAGACCCGAGAGTCACGAACGGAGACTTAGGGGGGGGGGCCGTATGTTCGACACTTGGAGGCTATATCGCAAGCCAAGAGGCTATGGATCAATACCAATCAACAGGCAGCGAAGCAAACCATAGGCGCAAAATGGACGCAACTGATTCCGCCTGCTTCGGGCCGTAATAGGCTTTCCAGAAA